GACCATTTATGTATTTATACATGGTGATCATGTCCCCCCTTAATCGCCTCTTCTCCAGAGAGAACAAATTCAGGTCAGCTAATCTTTCCTCATAGCTGAGCTCCTCCATGCCTCTTATGAGTTTAGTCGCCCTTCTCTGCACTTTCTCCAGTTCCACAATATCCTTTTTGTAAACTGGTGCCCAAAACTGAACTGCATATTCCAGATGAGGTCTTACTAATGCTTTGTACAGGGTCAGGATTATGTCTCTATCTCTGGAGTCTAGACCCCGTATAATACAAGAAAGTATTTTGCTTGCTTTAGAAACTGCAGCTTGACATTGCATGCTGTTATTGAGTCTATGATCTACCAGAACACCCAGATATTTCTCCATCATTGACTCCCCCAAACATACTCCCCCCCAGAGTGTATGACGCATGCAGGTTTTTAGTCCCCAGGTGCAGAACTTTACATTTATCAACATTAAACCTCATTTGCCAAATAGATGCCCAATCACACAGTGCATTCAGATCTGCTTGTAAGTTGGAGACATCCGGTAAGGACAGTATTCCACTACATAACTTGGTGTCATCTGCAAACACAGAAATAGTACTTTTAATCCCCAATTCTATGTCATTTATAAATAGGTTAAACAGTAAAGGGCCCAACACTGAACCTTGGGGGACACCACTAACAACCTCAGACCATTCAGAGTATGAATCATTGATCACCACTCTCTGAATACGGTCTTTAAGCCAGTTCTTAGGCGAAAATATGTAAATATCAAAATGCCTTGATGGGCAAGCATACCAAATATATGAAAAGTGACCAGTCAATATTTAAGGTAAAGCAGAACTGAAGCCAAAACTTTTTTTTTTTTAGTTTTTGGCAAAGAAAGGGATAGTTATAACCCCTGTTAGGTTTTTTTTCCCATCTGTGTCCCATTGTGGAGGTTCATCTTTATTTCCTGTCCAATAGATACAACAATGAGTAAGGAAATCCCTGGTAGTCAGCAGAGTCACTAGAACTAGTGTCCCCATTGGAAGATTTCCCATCTATTCCCGATCTAATGTTACCTCAAAATTTGTATTATTTGGGGATTTTCTTTCACTTTCATTTGAGGGTAAATCTCCCCAATGGGGACACAGACAACAATAAAAACAGAACAGAGGTTCTAATCCCCTCTCTGCTCTATCCAAAACAAAAATAAGTTTGGCTTCAGTTGCACTTTAATGTAAAATCCTTAAAATACTGATTTCATGTTAATTGGCATGACACCAAAGTTGTGTAAAAGTGTTTTTAACTTTGCAACTAAGAAGACCTATTATCTGATATATTCAGTATTTTTTAATGTTAATGCTTCATCAAAGTCATTCAAAAATCATATTTGCTTCAGCATGCCATTTTACATTTCTTCACTGTATCTTTAAAGGTTTATGGACATCTAGTCCCTATAAATACAGTGGTACCTCGGTTCACAAACGTTTCTGTTCGCAAACAATTCAGTTCATGAACAGGAAGTTTGGGAAAATGTTGCTTCCGTTCGCGAAGTCCGCATTGTGTGGCGAACATAACCCCAGCCATCTTCCTCGCTCTGACACATGGTTGTGGATTCCTCTAGTCGAGATTGTGGGCTGATCACAGTTTGATTCAGTTCGCGACCAGAATCATGGAACGAATTAAGTTTGTGAACCGAGGTATCACTGTACCTTTTGAATAGAACCACATTTACTTCTATTTCCTGTATGCCTTTGTCCACATTCCAATCTTTGTCCATGCAATGAATGCATGTTATATCTCATGGTGGGTTTTCTGATAGTGACAACAATGGAAAATACCTGCTTAATGTGTGTCGGCTACTTGTAGTCTCCATTGAAAGCTAATGTGTCAAGGTAACAACGCAGGAGCACAGATTGGAGACATAGACAGAGCATGGTCACCTTTAAAAGTAAGTGCCTAAGCAAGCACCTGCATGGCAGGGTAACCAAATATTATGGTAATAAAAAACTATTTAAAAATATCATTTTTTTTTGTATTTACAATAGCATGTTAAGGAACATATACAGGGCTATTTACAAAAGGGTGAAGAGTTTGGGGAGGGCAGGAGAAGTCAATAATCTAGGACAACATAGCTAATTTGGGAAACTTCTCCAATTCAGCTCACTTTCCAGTTTAGCTATGTTGTCCTAGATTGTTCACTTCCCCTGCCTTCTCCAAACTCTTCACCCTTTTCTGAATAACCCTGATAATATTTTACTGTTTGAGTTTACATGAAGTTTAGGACATTCCCACTTCCTCTAGCAGAGAAGGAGGGGTGTATGTCACTTTTCTGAGCCATTCAGCAGTCTATCTTTGGAACAACAAAACCAGAAAGAGCCCGTAGGTTGTACTGATCTCAGAGATCCCGTGCTGCTGGCTGCACATGGTGAAATGATAAAGGTGAATGCATTATCTCATATTTATTTTATTGCAAAGAAAGTGTTTTAAATAGAGTGGGAAAGAGTTTGGCCATCTGTCAAGTTTTTACTGCCGCTGGTGTCCAAATTAGAGAGATTCAGCACTCTATTTGTCACTGAGAGAGAAAGGGGGATATATTATTAATATTAGAGCTGACCCCAGAACAAGACATGGGGAGAAATCTTCCAATATGGACACCTGTGAAAGGGACATCTGTCTAAGCAGAGAGATCACCTCACACTGGAAGATTTCCTCTAACGTCCTGTTGGGCAAAGTTCAGTTTGCAGGAGGTGGTGAATCCAGGGAAAAATCCACTAAATCCAAACATAGAGCCAAACCCCACTGAAGTCCATGGGAGCTGAATACTGTGTTTTCTGGCTTTTTTAAGGCCAATCTGCAAGCCTTTCTTAAAAGGGGGGCATAGGTAGCTGGGTACAACCATGGAGGACATATACATGTTTTAAAAATGACCATTTAGTGGGAGCGGGTCTTTTAATGTGGCTTAAAGTGAAACATTGAAACACACAAATCCTTTAAATAACATGCTTGGGAATGCCTTAAAGCAGAACTGTGGGCATAATTATTCTTAACCCTTGCAGTGGGGCTACTGCAAGAGTTAGGTGCTCATTTTTGTCTAGGGACAAAAATGAACAAGAAATACTTACCTGAACTTTGGAGATTACATGCTCCTAAAACGGTCCCTTCAGCCTCTCTCGCCATCTGCTCCAGCGATCTAAGGTCCTGTATGTCATCATGTACACATGAGCATGCCAAGAGACATAACATTAATTGAGCGTAGGAAGAGACAGGGCTGCAGCTACCATTTTAGCAACTGCCCATTTCTAAGTATAGGGGAGTAGATCTTTTTTTATTTTCCTCTCTAGACAAAAACAGGCACTTAACCCATATGTATCAAAATAATTAACGTTTTTATTAATTTAGACCAAAATGTATTTAGGCACTGGTACTGGATGACACTGGCACTGGATGACACTGGTACTCAATGTGCAGGCACAAGTACTGGATGACACTGGTACTGGCTGCACATCTTGCTCCTGTGATAAGACTACAATCTCAATACAAATTAGTACACTAAATGTGAGATTGTAGTCCAACATGGGACTGAGTTTGGAGGATCTACAGCTGAGTGATACACAAATAAGATACCATTTTGTTAATAGTTCAGGTACTTGAATGCATGCTTAAAGGAGAACTATGAGGTGAGTGATTTTCACTCAACCTCATAGTTCGAGCCGACCTGTGACAATGAAACTGTCACACGTCGGCTCAATAGATCGGGAAGCGAGCAAACACATACTGTCGCTCGCTCACTTCTCGATCATCTCCCTGCAGAAAGATGTGACTGTCACTCACAGCTCCCTGCAGGTATTCCTCCCTCCCTGCTCCGATCTTCCACTGCTGACTGGTGGAAAAGATGGGGGAGGGGGCGGGTACAGCTGGCTCTGCCTCTAGATAGGCAGAGCCAGCTGTCAATTACGCAGCTGGGTGGATCTTGACAGTAATGTTGGGATCCATCCCGGCTGTGGGACTTTCAGTATACCGCGAGCTGTAGCTCGCGATATACTGCGCTTTGGGTCACGGGAGAATGCTAGTTTATGTCCTCCGGTGACCCTTAGGAGAACTATGGGGAAAAACACTTACTCTATAGTTTTTCTTTAAGATTTAACTCCTGAGTTTAGTGTCACTTTAACATATAAAGATATATCTGATGCTGGAATGTACCATTAATTATTGATGCCTGGAGTGTACAGATTACTTCCAATCATTTCTGTGCTTTGATTTTATAGTTATGCTTAAATGAAACATTTTCTCCACCGCTACCATACATTAAATAAAAAGTGTTTTCGTTTACAATGTGTGTTACTTCTGAGCACTACAATTCTGCTGAACGAATGAAATGCAAATCTTGAACTTTTTCGAAGACGCAATGTGTAAACCAGGGAACAAATACAATGAGAAAAGCTTTAAATCAGAGGTGAGCTAGAAGGAATAATTGGTTGAGGATGAATAAAACTCATGAAATAAACCACAAACCCTAAAATATGGATTTCCATCATTTTAATATCAATACTAATTTCATTTGCTCCCAAATGCCTGCTTTGTGCCACTCATTCTAGGCAATGAAGATCAAAGAATATAATATACTAGAAATGGGATTGTTTTAATGGAGGGGAAAAGGTTATTATTTTGGTGGTCTGATCCATTTATTATTCATCTGAGCTGATCTGAACGGGCTGCTCTGTGTGGATGTTCCCTGCAGATTACCAATATAAGCGATCCAGTTGATGATCTGGTAAAGGGTTTCTTTACACCCCTTGTTGGTGAATCTGCATCCCACTATAGATATGTCCAAATAACAACATGATACAACCCATATATACATAATAATGAGAGGTAGTAAATCCACAATTCCAAGCACCACAACACTTAGTCTACCCAACAAATCTGCTTACAGGAATGCATAAAGCTGAAATCCAGGTAAACAGCCAATTACACAGATGACATACTCTTTGAGAGCTATGTTGCCTGCCAAAGGATTTCTATTTCTGTCCAAACAATCTTGAGATTTGCACAGCTCTGGTGGACAGCACAGCCCTATCTGGCAAGGCAGAGGGCCTTATTTTTCTTGGTGCAGTGAAGTAACACTTGTAGATCTTGTCCCTTTCCCAGCATGTGACTGGACAGTAAAAGGAGAAGCAGCAGACTGATGAGCACTGTTATCTGTCACTCTGCTCTATTTTTCTATCAGCATGTACCTTGTTAGCACATGAACACTGCAGAACAACATGTTGGCTCCTTTTACTGCTTCTCCCACTTATAGTCTGAGCTGTGTTGTACAGGGACTGCACAAGGCTGAAATCAAGCCAAATTCATGTACAACACATTTAATGTAATAGATGTAATAAGTAATGAATGCATACAGATCCACATTTAATTCTGTTTTTCTATATGTGCCTGGATCAACTGTTAGATGAAAAGTCCATAATATGCACATTCACAGAGCCTGTAGTTATGTATGTTGTTATATAGGTAGCTTTGGGAGACAAAAACAGAGTTGTTTTACTTGCACAGGGTAACAACTGTGTAGAATGAGCTAATGGCAGAAATAAAAGGACAGTTATTATGTTGGGGAGGGATAGGCTTGCCCAAAGAGATGATTCAAGGATCGCCTAAAGATGGAAAGAATAGGATGTTAGCAGGGACATTTGGGGAAGGGCGTACCAGAGGACTGGAGAGGCTCTGGAGAAGTGTAAGGAAGTGACGAGGGAGCTAAAGAGCATGAGGTCTTGAGAGGAGCAGAGAGGGAGGTCTGGGTGATATTTTGAGATGAGGTGTGTGATGTAGGTTGGGGTGGAGTTGTAGATGGCTTTGTATGTTACTGTTAGTATTTTAAATTTTATTTGTTGGGGCAAGGGGGAGCAATCGGGAAGCTAGACATTCTGTCACCTGGGGCAAAAGTTCAGGGTTGTTCCCACCCACCCAAGGGAGATGTTCTCCATCCACATACCCAGTGGCACCCCTTCTAAAGCGTCACCCAGGGCACATGCCCCCAGCCACCCATAGCGTCTGCCCTGAGTGGGAGTCAGTGGAGAGATTGGCAGAGGGGGGCGGCAGACAATGGATGGTTGGTAAGGGAATGAGTCTGGCAGCAGTATTTATGATAGAATAAAGGAGGGAGGAGGGATAGCCTGTTTAGTGGTAGGCCAACAAGGAGGGAGTTACATTAGTTGAAGCGAGAGATTACAAGTGAGTGAAATAGAAGCTTTGCAGTGTTGTTTGTTAAAAAAGAGGTACATTTTGGAAATGTTACAGAGGTTGGGTCAGCAAGATTTGGATAGTCATTCAATGTAGGGCTTAATTGGAGAGGTCAGAATGAAGTATTACACTGAGCACCCTGGCTTGGGAGGAAGGGTTGAACGTTCTGCTCATTTTAGTGCAGAATAACGTTTGGCAGGTATATAGAACTGTTCCATAGATATCTGTACATCAGACCAAAAAGAGGGACAACTCAGGAGGAAAGAGGGACAGAGGGATTTGGTTCCAAATTAAGGATGTCCTGTCAGGGGTTCTAATCCTTCCCCTCTATCCAAAACCTAAAAATTACTGGACTTACACTTAATAGATGATAGAAGGACCTTTTTTAACATTGCTATGGGCCAAATGATGAAGAAAATGCTTGGACCGAAGAAGACAATAATAACTTTTCAACATAATGCAATGAGAACTGAAAATAGCATTCACATGGCAGAAAATAATGATAGCTATGGCAAATAACATGTCCTTTATCTTAGTAAATGAAGCCTAATACATATTAGGGTTTGTTTATATCTATATGGTAAAGGACACTTAGCAGATTAGTTTGACTGGTGAATTGAACTGATGATCTATGCACCATTCTGTTACCAAACAATTACCTAATAATCTTCAACAACGGATTTGTGGAAACTGATTCATTCATTCTTAGTAGATTCCACTCTTCACCATTAATGTGCATACTGATGAGTTACAATAACATTACATGGAATGCTTAAAATGTAGCCAAAACATTTTTTATTTTGCTTGTTTTAGATAGAATATGGAAGGCTTAAAACTCCAGCTTTTTTATTGCTGACTGTGTCCCTTTAATTAGATTTCCTTTCACCTCCTGTTAAGTAGAAGCAACCTGGAAGTTTGAGAAAATCTTTCCAAAGGGAACAGAAATCCCCTCTTGGACCATTGTCACCCTAACAGGTGTCACCTTTAAAGGATTTGCGGTCATATCCTGTTCCTGACACATTTTGGATTTCCCATCACTTTCTGTCCTGCTGACAATGATTACCAAGACAAACCAAGAGACAGACAATAATCAATACATGCAGTTAGGTCAAATGAGAACACTAAATCAAGAAATAGGAGTTCAAAAGTCTTCAATGTATTACTGGTATTCTGTATTCTGGTTGCCAGCCATTTGATTAAAGACCTTTGGACTTTGAATCACTTGATTTGGCACTCTCGTTTGACTTAACTACATATGAATTTGTACATTCTGATGACCCCCTTTCATGAGTGTGGCCCCCCATTTTTTTGTGGTGAGCAGCCAAATCAAAGCCAACAGGTTTCACTAGTGATTTTGCTCTTTTTGTTGAAAATTGATGCCTCACACCTACCTTTCCAGCAATCAATACATGACAGAGGTCATCCCTATTTTATCAGACCCTTCAACAAAATAACTAGAGATTAGGGCTGCAACAACTAATCAATTATAATTGATTATGAGACTAGTTGGCAACTATTCTCATTAATGATTAATTGGTTGGTTGGGGGGAGGGAGAGAGATTGATTTTTAATGCAACTAATTGATTCATCGGAAAAAAAATCGGGCAACGAATCGGTTATGAAAATAATAGTTGGCTGCAGATACACTTTAAAATGCATAAGCATATAACATTCAAATTCTAGGCAATGCTTAAATCGCTAGGACAGAGCTCTAGATGCCTACATATCAGAAAGTACATTATAGAGCCTCGGGCTATTGGGATAAGACAAAACCCCAATATCTCTGGAGTTCCTGAGCCTTTTGCTAACGACACGCCGTTCAACGTCACAAAAGCCCATGCATCCCTTTCAAATTTACTTATCACATTTTTTTTAACCCTCTGGGCTATCAATTAATATGAACAATTAGGAAATATTACATTGCAAGGCTCCTGACCTAGTTAAAAGCCAAATATCAGTTTTGATGTTATAACTTTACCAGGCACATCCAGCTGAGAAGGGGCCCCAGACCAGGCCTATACACATTAAACATTCATTACGTGTTGAGTTTCTTGGATAGTAAATTTAGAAAACAGCATATTACAAAAAAAAAATCCCTGTTGCTGGATTAGAATTTGCTATCTATAATTACTTTTGCTTGATTTATATGAAATGTGATAACAACAGTAACTGCCCAATCTGAATGTGTTAACTCTTATTTTAAAGGATATTACAGGTATTTTCAGTTCAGATTTTTTTAGCTGTCATTGTCCCTGCAGGCTGAACAAAAAAAAGTAAATGGAATTTAAAGTCTCTGCATTTGCTGATGACCTATTGTTCCATCTCATCCAGCCACTTCAAAGAATTACACTTCCTATCTAACTTCAACATAAATTACAGCAGATTGTACACCCTGAATATCTTCCTTCCCTCCTCATCAGCAGATCACTGCAAACCAAACAAAACTCCCCCTCTACAATGAATTATCTGGGAATCCACTTCTCATCTAACCTTAAAGACCTTTATGTACTTAACTTCCTCTGTATTACAAAAACCCTTTGCTTTTATTTGAAGGAATTGGACAAAACTCACATCTCTTGTGTGGGCAGGGCAGTCAATGTGAAGATAAGCATTGCACCCAGACTCCTCTGTTTGTACCATACCCATCGTCATCCCCCCAACAACGTTTTACTTCGATCCAATCCCTATATTTTACTGGAGCAACAAAAAGACCTAAGGTGAGCAACAAAACTCTCAACTTATCAAAACCAAAAGAAGACATAGGCTTTCCAGACATTCTCAAATATTATTGGACTTGTCATCTGCTGCAACACAAATTGCCACTTTATCATTTAATTTAATTGTACTTTTTACCTGCAATACCATTGTGACAAAATAAAACCTTCAATAAAAATATTTGACACCAAAAAACCTAAATGGGACTCAGCATCTTACTTGAAAAGACCAATGTGTCCACAGCCTTTGGTCTCTGGTCTAAATCCTGGTATGCAGCTAAAAAGGCTGCTCTTGGATACCACTAGACATAGCTCTTGAGAAGTGGGTCATTGAGCCTAATGCAGAGTCTGTCTCTTGTGCTACCTCTAGGGTGTTCACTAGTATAGAAAATCTAAATATATGACTTGTGATTGGAGGGGAACCTACTCACTTCTTCGGGGGGGGGGGGGTTAAGATCTTATCTATTTATTTTTTATTGCAAGCCTACATGGTATATGCCAGCTAAATAATCTGTACTATAAGAGCAGTTATCCTTAAGGAAGGTGATTTCTCAGATTTTTTATTTTTTCTGCTGGACCAACAAATGCCCCATGCTAGGGATACGCTTTTTAAACATGCCTACTTTTTGAGCGCCACCAGCCAACTCCATTTCGGTTTCTGATCATGCGATTTTAATATGTCAGCTATGACTAGTCTATTTATAAACAATTTCCAATTTTCCCTGTAAATCTCTGTGAATGTCCACAAACACTCTCTTTTCAAGGCAAATGTTATCAATATTTATTTATTTCGCTATTTAGCTTCATCTAGTGGCCATAATGCAGTATTATATTACATTTGATCTGAAAATATTTTTCTTTCGCCTCTATTAACACAAAACACACGTTCCCAGAGATTTACAGGGTGAATGGCTCTGTGAATTGTTTATAGATTGTCCCCATTGAATGTGCATGCAGGCTGAAGTATTATTCAACAAATAAAAGCTTTCAGCCTGCAGGTGCACATTGCCACTATCAGGCAGCAGTGGCATCTGCAGTGCCATCTGTTTAATAAAATTTAAAAAGAGCAGATCATACTAAATAAAAACCTTATATGTCCATAAAACTATAAAAATGATTAAAATATAGAAAATAAATAATAATGATAAATTTAACCTGGGCATCTAGGCATCAATGACTTTTGGTCATAAAAGGGCTAAAGCCCACTTAAGCTGTGTTTAAGATTTGATAATTTCTGTTGAATTTGACTTTACTGCATGTTTTGCTGACTGCTGTAGCTCTCTATTGCATTGTAGTAATCTACAGATTAATGCCACTTAATTGTGCTTTGTGAAATACATCAACACTAAATAACAAAATAAGAAATAAAATAATAAAATCTAAACAGCATATCAGCTTAGGTATCATAAGGTATCATAAAGCCACACATCAATGAAGATCATTGTTATGCAAATCCAAGAACTAATTAGATTTGCTTTATCCCCCGAGGAAGGAGCGGATGAGAAAGATAACTGGCAAATTTGGTTTCATTATTCGTTCTGAATTTTACATCTTCTTTTCACCATCGTTTTCGAGTGATCTGACTTCTAATATAATTTAATTACATATAGGTAAATTGAAGAAGTTATCTTTCTCATTTATTTTGATTAGTAGTGGAAGTATGGGTTTTAGATAAGAACTCTATATGTGTAAAAGATCACTATTAAAATTAATACTGAACCACTCTTACAGAAACTGTGTAGTCTTTTCAGACAAACTTGATATAAATAATGTTATCAATGTGTGTCAATGTTTAAAAAAAAAAAGAACTGTAAGCGGGCGTGGCCTGAGCTGCTGAGCATGGAGAACGTGTGTTAGCTCGGCTCCTCATCACCCGGGCACTTGAGCTCTAACTATTTCATTATTTTGCCTACTTGCCCTTCCACCCTTTACCCCACTTCTCCCTGGACCCCTTTTTATCTCTCATAGGGGGGAAAAAAAGGATCCAAGCCCCGCAAATCGGAAAAGACTCATCGCGTCTCTGATTACTGCCACGTGTCGCCAACCACTTGTGCCATGGAGCCATCTCCTCGTTACTCGGAACTGCTTCCTTCCCCAAA